CTCAACGGAAACCCCTGGGAACTCACATGGGTGGCTGTTTGTTGCTCTAGATCTGAAAATAGGGACTCCAAGAGAACATGCAGACAGAACTTTCACTATGAATAGACTGAAAGTCGTCAGCCACCATGGTAAGCTTTCAATAACCCTCTGTTGCTGCTCAGAGCAAAGTGACAGGTCATCTGGATACAAAGCATTTACCTTCTCTTCTTTTTGTAAAATCTATTTTCTGTCTCATACACTGTGACTTTCCTTTCTTTCTAAAGAGCCATGAGATTCCAAAGTAATTTAAATATAAAAGAAAACATCACAACAACCTTGTGTCTTAAAAGAACCAAATCATTTCCCATGCTTCTTTATAGTATCATTCTGTTTTACATTACAGACCGTTCATTTACACATTTTTACTTAACCAATGCCTCTCCCTCATCCACCATTTTCAAGCCATTACTGGGTAAGGGTTTATACAACCGTAGGTACATGCAAAATCCATACCATATTTAAACATGGAAGTAACTCATTTGCTTATATAATCACAATGTCCTGTACGTAGGCAACACATAAGAGTTGCCGGATCACCGCTTGCCAGCAGAAATGTTGGTCCAGTCCTAGGAGAGAAGAATAATCTTGTGATGCACAAGTGTGCGGGAGGAGGTGTGGGGGTGGTGAAAGTCTAGATTTTAGTCACAGACCTCCTTAGCCAAGTCACTACCTCTCTGCCTCAGTTTCCCCACCTGTGATATGGGAATAGTAATACCTACCTAGAAGGGGTTTTGTGAGACCAAATTCACTGAGACTGATAAAGAAGGTTTAAGATCTTTGACTAGGTGCCAAATGCTTCAGTTATTAATTATTATTAATGATACTAATAAAACTGTTTTGTTCCGCCTCACTCTAGCATAGGGTAGAACTTTTTGGCCTGAGGGCTCACAAAATTGGGGGTTTGGATGTAAGAGGGGATGAAGGCTCCAGCTGAGGGTGCAGGGGTTTGGCGTGCAGGCAGGAGCTCCTGGCTGGGATTGAGTATGAAAAGTGGGAGGGGGCTCAGGGCTAGGAAAGGTAGATAGGACCCAGGAGGGACTGAAGGGGACAGGCTCCGGGTGGTGCTTACCTCAAACAGCTCTCAGAAGTTGTGGCATGTCTCCTTTCTGGCTCCTATGCAGAGGTGCGGTCAGGTGGCTGGCACCACCCCCACTGCTCCCATTGGCCATGATTCCTGGCCAATGGGAGCTTCAGAGCTGGCACATGGGTCAGAGGCGGTATGCGGAGCCTCCTGGCTGCCCCTGTTTCCAGGAGCCACTTGGAGTCATAACATGTGATGGCCCCGCTGGGAGACTGAGGGCCAAAGCAAAAGGTCTGATGGGCTGTAGTTTGCCCACCCCTGCTCTACTGCATACTACGTATGGATTACAGAGTCTTCTCTATGTGATCACCCTGCCTGATTGCTCTAGATAGTTTGTGCTCTGCTCTCATGCAAATTGTTGGGAGAGGCCTCTTCCATCAGAAACAGGTAGGGTGCAAAATGCCCTTTTATCGGCACTGTGATCAGACAAGCTGTCTCGCTGAAAGCATAGAAACAAATTGCTGTTTCATTATCCCGAGGCCACGTTGGAGGAAACAAACCACAATAGTCCATGGGCCAAATTCTGCAGCAATGGAAACTGCAGGGTAAGGCGTCAATCGGTGTTGGTCAGACGAACCTCGACTAATTTGGCTTCGAGTGGGTGTGCAGAACAAGGACCGCTGAGCTGTGGAGGGGGCAAACATGGGTGAGGTGGAAGGTAAGAAAAGGAGGAGGAGCATGAGGAACTCTCTGGTTTACAATCTTCTTTTGCCTCTCATGGCCGTCATGTGCTCCTAGTCACTGGGACATAGCCTCTTATGCATCCACTGTGCTTCTGAAAATGGGATTTAGCCATCTAAGTCATGTGGGCCTTGCAACTGAGTGGAACAGTGACTATATATGTAGAAAAATCTGGGTCACATTGACTGTTTTAGGCTCTAGATTTATATCTGTACAACGGAGGGCAGAATCCGGCTGCTAACTACGTATATGACCCTCATTTTGTACAACCACTGAATATCAAATGCATTCAGTTTTACCCCACTTTACCACTTCCATCCACTTCCTGCCCTGCTTACGACCACTGTGTAAATTGCACGGTTGTTCACATTGCCTCTGCAGTCAGCCCCAGCACTTCCATGGGATATTCTCTCACTCCAGGCTAACTCTGAGCTCCAAGGGGACCACGCTTGAAATACTGGTTCTGTCTGTTTGATGGAGGAAATTAACCTTTTAGGAGTAAAGATCAAATCAATCCTCACTCAGTTTATGGATCACATTGCTTTGTAAGCAGCTTCCTCCTTTCCCGGGGCCAAGCACCTACCAGGGACTTTAGTTCTGCCTTCATTTGCATTTGAGTGTTTCTTGCGGTTTGCTGGCTAGAGCTTTCAAGTCTGAGGAAGCTCTTATGCTCTGTCTACCAATACCCTGGGCTCAACAATGCTGGAAACTCCATGGTCTGTCTGGATGATGTGTTAAATAAAGGCCGGAGACAACTGAAATCCGAGTAAGGATGTAGGCAGAAAGGAAATGATTAACCCTTTGGGTACCAATACTCAGGCTTTCCTGATTCAAAGCCCTGTTTTCCAAACTCCCAGGGACAGGATTAAAATCCCTCTGTGATCCCAGAAGATCACATTAACGAACAGGACTGTGCCAGCTCGTTCGCTGCATGGGAGGCCTACGGCAGGAAGTGGGCAGGGTGACTCAGCTAGTGGTGGTCTTTCCACTGAAGAGATGCCTAGGTTGCGAGGTTGGAGGTGGTCTCAGAAGAGCTTCTGGTCACTTGCGGTGAAGAGCTCAGAGTGTTTTTCGTAAGGGGAGGAGGGTGTCTCAGGCTCTGACCAAATTCCACCGCCAGTCGTTGTGAAATGTTTGTTAAGGGCTGGTAACAGGACACAGTACACTTCCTCTCCTACACTGATGTCGAAGGCTGCTGGGAACCTGGGAACAGCTGCCGCGTTACACCCCGGTGGGTGAAATGATGCCTACAGATTGGATCCCTTTCCTGTGGCTCAAGGGTGTTGCCAGTCCTGATTCACCCATGTCCGTAAAGCACTGCAACGTGCCTGTACGAACAGTGCTGGAGACAGGCCGGTAGATGGGGTGGGGGTAGGAGTAGAGCAGTTGCCCCAGGCCCCTTAAATTGCTGCTGGAGTGCCATGCGGTGCACTCTATACGGCTCTGAGGGCTGGGAGGGGGCATTCTGTGCTCTGGGTGGCATGGAGGCTGGCTTCCCTCAGCCCCGCCCCTTCTGCCCAAGGCCCCCACCCCTTTTGGCAGCCTGGAGCTCCCCCCCCTCTCCCCCCCGTGATCTTGCCCAGGGGCCTGCAGATGCTGTTGGTACCCCGGCTGTAGAAAGTCTAAGAGTTCACCCTGACTCTAAAGGAACGGCTCCAATCCCACATCACCACCCATTTCGCAAGAAGAGAAACCCCTTGTCAAATTGTAAAAGGAGGGGCTACGAGGAAGCTGCTACAGGGGGCACCAGAAGAGAAGTGGACGTGGCGTTAACCTCACCGACTTGTCTGCTCTCTCCCAGGGAAGCGAGGTCCCCCCTGGACGTCACCGGGAGGAAAACCAGGCACTGAGGATTCAGTTTTCACCTCTCCCGCCATCTCCAATCCCAGCATTTGCTAAGGCAACTCCCGCATGCAAAGCAGAGAAGCCGTGGAGCTGCTCTTATCTCCCCCGTGGGGCTATTCTGCCTGCCCAGGAGGAGCAAAAGGCAAGAGTGCTTTTCCCACCTTCCCACCGTGGCACGTTCCCGACTTGGCACAGTGGCAAGCCAGACCTGGAGTCATGTCCCTGGGAGATTCCCCAACAACAGAGGAATCTCCAGCTGCTGTCTGACACCACCGGAGTGGTGGAAAAGGGCCTTACTAAAGGCAGAGGGTCGAGCCTCCATGTGGGTCTAACAAGGAAATGGAGTCAGCGGGGAAATTCTCCCACGCTTGCATGAAACTTAGCTGACATCTGCTGAGGGTTCTTCATACTCTGAGGTATTTTCGGATGGAATGAGGCAAGGAGCCTAAATAAACCAACACTCTCCATGTCTGTGTTAGACAAATATTTGTCCAGAATTCAAAGGATGATTCCTTTAAAAGGACAGAGGAGGCTCTGTACATTCCTGCCCTCCCTGCACCTTCCTTAGGTCAAATCTATGCCCAGTTGTTTTTCTGCTTACCCAACCAGACATGTTATCTCTCCTCTCTAACCCCTGCCGAACTGTTTACACTTCGACAAGGTCGTCTCTTAATCGCTCCTTTTCCAAGAAAGAGAGACCAAGGGCCTGATTCTTGTCCGCATGCTACTGCTACCTTAGTGACCTCAGTGTGGTTACACCCCCATTTACTCACTGTAAGATCAGAGAACTGGGACCCTCAATCTGTGGCATCCTGGCAGTTCTGTGTCACGCCTCTGGTCCTTCTATTCTACAATAGAAGTTATAATTGATTTCTATGGCGTATCCTCCGTGCAGAGCATCACAGAACAATTGAGAGAGGAGAGGAGCATGCTAATCAGTGATTGGAGAGAGAAGCTGCATTTATGGTTTAAGACTTAATCATCAATAATGGCCCCACGTTACTGGGGTAAGGACAAAAAACGGTCAATAAGGGAAGATTGAGGGCATGCTACATCCAAAAGAATAGCCAGGGACCCCAGGGAGAGTAAAAGAGCTACCCTGGCTTGAAGGTTTGCCTGAAATAAGAACAGTTTTAGGGTACGTGTGCAATAAGCTCTAGTGTATTAGAAATAGCTATGCACCGTGTTTTATTTTAAATTTGTCATTTACTTTGCTCTGTCCATTTTCATTCACTTACAACCACTTTAATCCTACTGTTTGTACTTAGTAAAATTGCTTTTATTTACTATCAAGCTCAGTGTAAATAATTGATACCTGTGCACATTCTCTTTTCATTGTTAAATGGGGGCTCACCTGGATGGGCTTTCAACATGCGGGAAACTCTCACGCAGTGAAAGACGGATTTATTTGGGGTTTTGATCCCCTTTGGGAGTTGGGTTCTTAAATGCTGTGCCTTTGAACTGCATTCTCCTCAGAGCTGGAGTCAGTGTCTGTATTGCTCTTTGCAGGTGCCGGGGCGGGACGGCAGGAATGGTGGTTATCTCAGCTCCGTGCTTTGACTGGGGGAGACCATCTGGCCCAGCAGAATATGGTGGTGAGGAGCCTCAGAGAGCAAGAAGGTGAGTGTCAGTGGCTTTATTTGGGCTAATGGCGACAATAGCCTCCCCCCCTCCTCCCCTGGGGCCTGACATCTTGGGATAGTCCAATGCCAATAATCAGGTCACGTGTTTCCTTTTCTTTCCGGACTTCTCCACACTTAAAATGTTACCCCGGCACAGCTACAGCGTTTCAGAGTAGACACTGCCAACGCCGCTGGGAAAGGCTGTCCTGTGGGCAGGGCCCATCATGGGGAGGGCCATTTGGCCTGGGCCTCAAGCTCAAAGGAGGCCTCAAATGTACAGCCTTGTTACTTTTTTGGCATTTGATAACATGTCGAAGCAGGTAAAGAACGATCAACATCAGGACAAGAGCATTGGAATGGGCTCCGCCTGCTTCATATCAACTGGGACACTGCCCAAAAGCTCGATTTTTCCCCTCAGTAATAAGTGCATTTGCACAGGAAAAGGTGAGACAAGCACTCGTTGCAATAAAAAAAAATATTCAAATTACATCTTTTTTGGGTGCCTTAATTTGTTTTCATGTCTCTTCATTTTTTTTATATTTATGTCCCAAGCCCCTCTGGCCTTCTGAGAGGCCTGCATGTCGGTGTAGGTCAGCGGTTCTCAAAGTTTTTGGGCTCCGGAGCCCTTTACATGCGTAAAAATTTATGCGGCATCCCAGCGGTCCACTGATTGTATGTGTTGTACCTATCGATGTTTCCAGTTTGTCAACCTTGCAAAGCCCCTGGAGATGTCTTGTGGAGCCTCTGGGGCTCCACGGAGCACAGTTTGAGAAACACTGGTGTAGGTAATCAATCTTCCTGAGAGGCGGTAGCTAGGTCAAGAGAAGAATTCTTCCTTTCACCTACTGCTGTCTACACTGGGGGCTAGGGCACGAGAGCTATGCCTCACAGGGGTAGATTTTCACTCTTGAGAGATGTGGCTATACCAATGCAAAGTTGTCATGTGCGCCAAACCTCAGTTTCGCTAATGTTTCTAGAAGGGATGTAAAATTCCATTTCATCAGTCAAACGCTATGTTTAACCCAGAGGTTCTCAAACTGTGGGTCCCGATCCCCCAGGGGGTCGTGAGCAACTTAGAGGTGGGTTGCGGTATCACACAGTTTGAGAACGGCTGGTTTAACCGGTTAACTGCTTAAACAAGGGTGGCTGGGGGATCGCTCCAGCCCGGCTGTGCCCACTGAAGGCAGGGGCTGCTCTGCCCGGGTTTCTTCCACTCCTATGTAGGGCTGGAAGTCGAAGCCCACCACATGGTCAGGTGGGGGCCCGGCCGGGCTGGTTACTGGTACTGGTTAACTGTTACCAGTTAGCATCCCTAGTTTGCAGCACATTCGACCGATCCAGCCCCCCCAGTCCTGTCCCTACCTCTGCAGCAGCCTTCTCCCGCACCTGGCTCCTATTCTTACCAATCCTCGAGGGAGAATTCTGACCCCATGAAGACTATGGCAAAACTGCCACTGTCTTTGACAGGGCCAGCACTTCACCCCACGCCATCTCCATTCCCAGCCTCAGTCACTGGTGTGTATCCATGGCTGCTTTTCCTCCTACTCCAGGCTGCAGCCCCTGCACCAGAACGGACACACAAACCAGTCGCAAGCAGGAGTAGAGCTTGGACAGGAGGGTTCTAATGGAGGAAGGCTTGGGGGTGGGATTCTTTCAGAGGCGAGGTGGATGGTGAAAGGGCTGGGGCCTGGATGCAGTGGTGGAGAACATCCACGATACACGGGACCAGGAGAGAAAGGCAGGGTGGGGCAGCCACTGAACAGGAAGGGAGCTGAGGGCAAAGGAGGAAATGGGATGCTGAGTTACAGGTGAATCGATGGAGAATGAGAAATCAGCAGAAGAACGAGTCCTGCATCTTTTTAATCTTCATTCCTTTGAAAGCCCAAAGGTCCAAGGGGCACCCAGCGCTCCAGGTAGGTTCTCTCAAATCCCTTAGTCAGAGCTAGAATTACTTCCTCCAAATAACCCTGGAGGAAGCACACCACAGTACGTTAGCTTTCTAGAGCGGCTGCTAACACCACCACAAGGGAATCAAGTGTTTTACACAAAGGGCAGGTTGGTTAAAGCAGGGAAACTGACATTCAGGACTCCTGGGTACTAGTCCCAGCTGTGATACTGACACCATGTGACCGTATGTAAATCAACCTCACTGTGCCTCCATTTCCCTGCCTGTAAAACAGGAGTTAATACCCAGGCCAGAGGGCTACGTTGGCAAGTTTTTCCGCAAAAGCAATTGCTTTTGCGGAAAAACTTGCCAGCTGTCTACACTGGCCACTTGAATTTCCGCAAGAACACTGACGATCTCATGTAAGATTGTCAGTGTTCTTGCGGAAATGCTATGCTGCTCCCATTCGGGCAAAAGTGCTCTTGAGCAAATGCTTTTGCACAAGAGGGCCAGTGTAGACAACGCGGTATTGTTTTGCGCAAAATGGCAAAAATGGCGATGGGGGCTTTCTTGCACAAAACCGCATCTAGATTGGCATGGATGCTTTTCTGCAAAAAGTGCTTTTGCGGAAAAGCGTCCGTGCCAATCTAGACGCTCTTTTCCGCAAATGCTTTTAACGGAAAAACTTTTCCGTTAAAAGCATTTGCAGAAAATCGTGCCAGTCTAGACGTAGCCCAGCTGTCCAGTGCTTGGAGATCCTTGTCTGAAAGTCGCTATGGAAGGGCAAAGTCTGACTCCTCTCGTGCTGTGTAATTGCAGCACCGGGCGAGTCTGGTAAGAACCCTCTTTCACATCCACCAGCTCCACCCCCCTCACTGCCAACCTGCTTCACTGGCCTGACTGGGCTAGGCACTGATCCTCCTGGAGCACCTTCTAGTGCCCTCAGCTCTGCACAGAGCTTCAGCTTGCAGAGTGCGTCCATTCTCTTCCAGAGCCATGCCCGTTCTATTTTCACTTGTGGCTCCCCTCTTCACACGTCCCTCTCCCTGACCACGTGGAAGAGTCGTGCATGAGACCAGAGTAGGGGCATGAAAAATAAGCTCGCTAGGAACCAGCCTGTCTGGTCTGTGTTTGCATAGTGCCCAGCATAACGGGCCCACAGACCCAGACCAGGGCTCTTAGGTGCTGCTCTAGCCCTGTGTGGCCTGTCACGGACAGGGGCGCTTCAGCTTGGTCAGAGCAGCTCCCGCCTGTGGTGGGTCCCAGCTGGAGTGGCCCCTCTGCCCTCTGCCCCATAACTGGTTAAATATCACATATAAATGATTAACCAATTAAATGGGATTTTACATCCACAGTAACTGGATCTTTGGTCAAGGGGATTTAGGAATGCCATTTTCCTAGGGCAGCGAGGGAAAGTGCTCCCACTCTTTGGGTAGGTCTACACTGCAACACTGTTTTGAAATAATTAGCACTATTCCAAAATAACGTAGTTTACGTCTACACAGCAGGCAGTTATGTTGAAATAGTGTTGAAATACTGTCAAGCTGGAAGATTTCTTACTCCGACTCCTGTACACCTCATTGTATGAAAAACAAGGGAAGTCGAAAGAAGAGTGCTCTGTCGAAATAGGTGCTGTGTGGACACTCCCTCTTTAGAAATAAGCTATTTCGAAATAAGATATGCAATTGACGTAGCTCAATTTGCGGAGCTTATTTCAAGTTAAGCCCTACAGTGTAGACGTACCTTTTGAAACTAGGCTGAACAGAGTGCTGCAGAATGTTCTGCCTGAGAGGTCTTTCCCCACCTAATCCCTACAGGTCAAATTCTGCTCTAGTTTTCAGTAGGAATGTGAATAGGTAACCAGTTAGGAATGTGAATAGGTAACCTGGTTACTCGGTCAGCACCACCCTTACTGGGTGATGCTAACCCGGTAATGGTTAACTGGCACCCAGAAGCTGCTCCTCACCTGTGACCGACTATAGGCAGAGGGCTGCTCCAGACCTGTCGGGCCCCCCACGCTGTGGGCCAGGACAGGAGCCAGCCCCACACAGGACTGGGAAGAGCAGACCTATGGGATGGGGGCTGCCCCAGCCAGGCTGCAGTGGTCTCCTGCCTGGGATCCTGCTTAATAGGTTAACTGGTTAAACCTAACATCTAACAGGCAACTGATTAAACGAGATTTTACATTCCTAGTTTTCAGCAGTGTAAATCCAAAGTAATGTCCAATGGGCCTACTCCAGACTTATGCCGCTGTAGATGAAGTCAGAATGTAGCCTTAGGACTACGTGATGAGCATTCCCCAAATCAACCCCGATTCATGCTCTTCATCACTTTCCTCATGAAGACCATGCACCTGAGTCTGTTCACACTGGTTTCTCTGTGAATTTCAGAGTAGCCAGGTCTGCTTTATACTGATGTAAGTGAAATCAGTCTCTGGGCCCCCGCTTTGTAGTTGGCTGGTCCTTCTCTCAATCACTTCTTGGCTACAGCCTCTTACTTTAACTTCTCCCATTTCCAATGAAGTTTTATTAATCAGATGGAATTCTGGGATGGCGCATAGTATTTTAGCATTCTTCAGACATCCTCATTTTTTGCTCACCTATACAAGCCCTGGCCTGATTTTCTTCAATATTTCTTCTCCTTCCCCAGGGAAATTTGTCTCTCCCGTTCCAGGATCCATCCTATTTCTCTCCTTTGTGAGCATGGAGGCAAAGATTCATTTAATTTTTTTAAAGCAATGATTACCTCTTTTTGCCAATAAATTGTCCTTTCTGACTTCCTAGGGGCCCCTGTGTCTCCTCTGACCCTCTTGTTTCTTGTGTACTTGGAAAAGAACTCATTTATCTCAATCTTTTGTGCAGTTTTCCCTTCAATCTGCACATTTGCTTTTCTTATTATTTTACTTCCTTAATTTCTGTCAGTAACCTCCTCCATACCCCTTGTTTCCCATCATATACGGCCCCCCTCTGAGACTTGATTGCTATTTGCTCTCCCTGCTCAATCCACATTGGATTTTTCAAAACAAAATCTCCCCCCCTCCCTTTTGTCCCCCCATGCTGTGCTTTCTTCTCCCCCCCAATGACGAGCAGGAGGATTTATGTCCACAATTCCCAATAGTATTATTAAGTATTACCCACATAACCTCCTCCATCCTCTCCCACGTATCAATGTGAGACCAGACCACCCCAGAGTGTATTTATTGCTTGATGTTATACCATAACCCTTTGGGCATAAACGGATTTACCTCTGAACACTCTCCATTTCCCCTCTGTGTCCTTTTCACTTTATTTCAATCAATTTCTGCTGAGCATTCTTTCAAAATGGCTCTGCTGAAATTCAAGGACTCAAATTCTGCTCTCCATTCAGTCTCTGTAAATTCAGAGTAGCATATGGAAATAAATGGAGTTACTCCGGATTTACACCAAGATCAAGATTTGACACGAGATTCCTTCCCTGTCCTCTTTTTTTCTCTGCATTGCAATGGGCCAGAACCAAAATCCAAGAACTTTGTATCTGCCAACACTTCCTCTCTTAAGAGTCTAACGAGTTCAGAATCACAACAGCTTGGCTGCTCCCCCCATCGGTCCTCATAACCATTTAGTCAAATTGCTAGGATACGCAAAATCAAGGGGGCAGTTACTGCCTGTCTCATTTTCCTGTTTAGCTTTGTTTTGTTTTAAAATGCACTGGGTCTAATCTTCAACAGCCTTCTGAAAAGGCAGCCTCCCAGCCTCCACATGTGCAGGCACAAAATAGGGCCTCTATGGGTGAAAATCAGACAGATGCACAGCCTGATTTTCACACGCTCGATTTTTGTGGGCATAGACAAGAGCTCCTAGACATTTCAAGGGAGAATGCTACTTTAGATGGTCCCTTAAAATGTTGTGTAAGGGAGCGGTCCAGCACTACATCCCCAAAATAATTTGGGGCCAGGTCAAACAAAGCAGGAGCCTCCAGGAAAGCCATTTGATCCATGCTCCCTATACTGCCCTGACCTGAGGCATCAAATGTTTGGATTCCCTGACTACACATTCCTTCTAAACAGTTGCCTGTCTCCTGCAGATTAGAGACCATCTCTAAAACAAAGAGACAAATGCCCCCATAACAACCCATGTGACGCGCGGTGTTCTGCAAATCATTCGGTGTTCTCAGCATTGCCTTCTCCCAGCGTTTGGAAAGTGCAGAAATGATCCCTCACCTGGTAAGGAAAACCTGTCCCCACCCCACCTTCTTTCTCCTCCTCTCACCCGTTTGAGGCTGAGGTTTGGCGTCTGCTGGTAGACAGGTCGGTACGCCAGAGATGTATTCAGCTGTACTGCTGCCAGGAGAGCCCTCTAAGTCATCTCCCTGAAAGGAGCAGACAGCTCTGTAATGAAGCGTAATGCTCTGACGCTCCTATGAATGACACTGGCCAACACCAGCTGAGTCTCAGCAGCTTATCAAAGCCTCATTTTTCTTTTTCCCTGTTAGAAAAAAAACATTAACATAAAAACCCCTTTAGAACAGTTATCGCGTGGGTAACAAAGGAGGCATTTCTTTAATAGTCCCCCCCCAACGCGGCACGCAGCCCGTCCTGCGGGCACCCAGGCCAACGCCTGGCTCACTGACTCCGAGCCCTCAGCATGGGGACTGGGAAGATGGGGCAGAGAAGACAAGGAAGCTAAAGGAGAAAGAGAGCAGGGAGAAGTGCGAGGGGTAGTAAGTGGAAGAAAGAAGGACAAGGGAAGAGAGACAGGAGCTGACAGTACTGCTAGCCATAGTGGCAATGGAAGGAGGTGGTTCTAGGAAGCAATTTCCTCCCCCTTGCCCAGAGAGGGAGGGGATTAAGGATGGTTCTCAGCACTGCCTGGCGGGCTGCTGGAAGGAGTAGCTGGCTGCTCTGCAGGGAAAAATCCGCCCTTACCTCCTGTGTCTGAGACAGGCTTGGTGGCGGAGTCATTTACTCTCCAAGTCTCCAGTCCTAGCCGTTGCTTTCCCCACTCCTCTGCAGCCAAACACAATCCTCACTGTACCTGCTGCCCCCAGGGCATGCTGCACCCCCAAACTACTCCGCTCCCCCTTTCCCTGGAGGCAGTGTAATGAAAAGACCAGGCATATGCAGGGATGGGGCGGGGGGAGGATTCAGTGGGGGCACTCAGGGGAAATGTTACTGCAGGCTTAACCTATTTCACAGGACGCCAAGCAGGAATCCCAGGGAAGGAAATCAACGTCTGATGTGTGGTAAATTATTTCGGTATTATACATTCCCGCTCTGAATCCTAAAGACAAATACTCCTGCAGGTTAACCAGGGGAGAAGACTTTCTAAAGACCCTCATCTCTTGCCCTTTTATTGACTCTGTCAATCACCCCAACCTCTACCTCCCTGTAAAATCTGAGCTGTTCCTTTTGTTCCAGCTGGAAAAAAAAAGAAAAAGAAAAAGGAGGGGTGTGTGGGGGTATTTGGGGCAGGGAACTTCCAAAAGGGATGATTAAGGAGTTAATCTGCCTGAGATAGATAAGGAGCTTAGAGCCGCTGGTATTTTACTGTCCAAGTTTGGATTCAGTGCGTCTTAAACACTGGCTGGAATGTACTTAGATATGACCAAAGTACATGTCCCCATGGGGAATTACTAGGCTGCCAATTAGATTTGCTTCCTAGATTCACTCATCCCCTCACAAGCTTCTTCAGAGAAGGAAAATTGCTGCCCGTCCCCAGAGATGAAAGGAGGCGGCGGCGGAGAGAAAGAGGGATGGCTTAGCCCGCTGCTATACATACGCACAATCAGCTATGCTGCTTTCCTTATGAATGAATAAATCACGGCTACTCGGATGCAACTTGGGAGACTGAACAGCTGAGTGGTGTTCTGGCTGCCAGGGGCAGGCTGGGAAATCTAGACCCAGGGCTTTTGGGGGCGTATGTCCTTTTAGTTTGCTGTGAAACAGAGAACAATTATGGAATTCAAGCGGTGCCTGCTGACCTTTTGACCTTGACAGGTATTATATGCGCTGTGGTCAAAGTGTAGATGCTACAGGATGGGGAGGGAGGCTGTGACGGGAGTGAAGCGGGAAGAGATGTCTGGTGCCAGGCAGACTTGCTCAAGAGACAAGCCGCTGTGACACGGAAGTGGCTGATTCCCAAGAGTGAAGGAATCCTAACAGTGAGTCACTCTGAGAGGCCTGTTTCTATGTGCTTTGATTTCCTGCCTATTACAGAGAGCTCTAAGTGCACACTAGCTCTGCCGCTCAGCTGTAGGAAAGACAGCATTAATAATAATTATACATGTGCAGGACAATAGACAGACAGCAAAAATAGATCCTTACGTTCGGGGGCTTCATGAGCTAGCCCTGGATCGAGATCTGAATGTGACTGTTGGTTCCTGGATTGCTAGAAAGGGCTAGTTTTCTCCTACAGGAAGGAAGAGTGCTGCAGAGTCCAAATGGGAAATTGGCCTCATTTCTAATTCAGCTGTAATCCATTGTGCTCCTGGCTGTGGCCCTGCGTGCCCAGGCAAATCCAAGTGCTTCCAAATACAGTGCAAAGTGAAGTGGTCTCTGCATGCTCCCCCACCAGCGCACAAGTGTACAAGTTGAATCTCTCTAGTCCAGCACCCTCAGGACCTGACAGGAGCTGAACCAGAGAGTTTGCAGAACCACAGGAGGTCAATACTGTCTAGCAGCATCACCAACACTTCCACTGTTTTTTGGGCTCTTAGGAGACATTTAGAGGTAAATTAGAACTACATAACAGCACAGAACACTGAGACACAGGACTGGTGGTGTTATGGCACTGAAGGAACATTGGCCACACCCACGATAAGTGGACATCCAGCTAACTAAAATCATGCCGGACCACAGATGTTTCTGAACCAGAGGGTACCAGACTAGAGCAATTCAATCTGTATAATATGCGGACACAGACCTGGGCACTTCTAATTAAAGTCTCCAATCAAGGGTGCCCACATGCACTTGCATCCTGCAGCGAGGGACCCACTGGGACACTCACTAAAAAAAAAAAAAAAAAAAAAGAACCAGAAGATAAAGCCAGACCCTGCGGGCAAAACCCTGACCAAAGAGAGGTGCTACCCTCTATGTGCTGGAGGTTAACAAATGCTGGCTTCTGGCAAAGCAAATGTCAGAATCAAGGGCCAGACGTTGGAAAAGTCCAGCCATTTAAAGGTGGGGAACCTCTACTGAGACTATACCAGCTGACTTCAGTTCCCACAGTAGTGCAGAAGAAAGATGCAAGTATCCAAACCACAGTATACCAGCAGATACACATATATATAGCAGGAGCTCACTAATTGCTACTTGTGGCTAGGAGACCTACCACAAATTACTAGGATTTGCGAGTTGGCAAGTAAGTGGAGGAATACAATTTAAAAAGCAAAATTTAAATAAGCAATATGAAAAATAAGCAATAAAAAGTGAATATTTTCCATCACAAAATATCATTTGTTCATTCATTTTCACTACAGTAGTCTAGTTTTCTTTATTTACGTTACTCTGTAGTGAACTGGCAATGTTGGTAGAGTCTATTTAGTACAAGTAATGAAGTTTGGGGATTATGAGACCTCATTACAGCACTAGCTTGGCCATTAAATCTTTGCTGAGCAGTGGAGAGACATATTTTGGGGTAAAAAAAAAAAAAGAAAAAAAAAGAAAGCACATGCACCAGCCTTACAGAGGACAAGATGCATTCACCCAGACAGACAACACAAAGAGATGCTGATGAAAAAAATCTGAGCTATTTACACTGTTGGTCATATGCACCGTAAGCTTGGCTGCTCAAAACCTGGTACGTATGTTATAAAACTCTTAGAGCCAGAGAGATGCTTTCTGTCTCTCTCAACATCTGTCTTCCCCGGCCTACTTCTCTGCCCTTCTTTTTGCTATCAAGATCTTCCCACTGACTTCAAAATGTGGAGGATTAGATCTGATTCAGCATCACGGAGGATGGTAGTGGCAGCTATAACAGCAAGCAGACTTAAGGCTCAGTGGTTGGTATTATTTGTGTCACCTAGAGTATGTCT